TTCATTTTTCCTCAAAAATTTTCTGTTATGTAGGAAGAAAAAATTATTTGAATAAGTTGTTACTCTAATTTGATGTTCCAAGGTCTCCTATCAGTGTACTAAAGCAGCCAACTTAGCTGAAGATGTTATTTTTCAACTATTTATAAGTAACAAATTCTCATACATTAAGAACATGACATTTTTCTTTCATTGAGTGTCTCTGAGTAATTATGAACAGTATCTATGAATGTAGCAAGTTTTTCTGGCTCATGATCTGGAAGCATTCCATGTCCCAGATTGGCAATGTATCGTTGGGTACCAAACGTCCTTAGCATGTATTTCACGGCATGCACTATGTCCTCCTGGAAGTAAATATTTGCCAAAAAAATAAAAATATTGGTCAGAGTTTTCAACCAGAAACAGCTTAGGTACTAACTTTTGAAACACTTCTGAGTTTTGGTTCTTCCCTTTGGATGGGATTTTTTTCATTCAGGGAAAATATTCTAAGGAGATATGAGAAGTTAGTCACATTAAGGTAAAAAGAATCAAGGAAATGGTCACCAACTAAATAAGTTCCTTGGCGGCACCTTAGGAAACATAGAGAGAGCAGTAAAGGGAATATGCATACTGATGTTAGGGTATAGAGCTAGGGTTAAAATACTGAGGCAGATGGTCACTCACATGGCTGCTGTACAGACAAGCTGGATCAAGATTCCCTTGAAGTGTCACTGTTGGTGCAACAATCCTGCCATACAGAAAATCATGCTCAAAATTTTTTCTCTGAACACAAACTTCTTTTAAAAGTCAAGTAAAAATTATAAGTAAAATCAAGGACTGACTTCTGGAATTCACAAAAGTAAAGTTTTATGGAGCAAACAGCCCATACTTACATGTATTGCTGACAACAGTTGTCATGGTTTCACCCAGAATGCCCAATCATGGGACACAGCATAACCAGTGTGTTGTCATATGTCATAAGGACATGGCTAATATTTAACAATTATTCCATGAGTACACCTTGGAAATGAGATGATAGATAGCCAACAAGGTGCGTAGTGCTCAGTTGGCTATAATCATCTCATATCCAACAAGCGTGAGTGGAATAATTGTTTTATTACAAATGTTAAATAAAATTATTAAATTTTTTAGCTCCCTTTTAATTTTAAGCTGATGCGTATGCTTACCACACTTGTAGATTATGGTATATTGGCTCACATACCATAATGACTAAGCCAATAAAAAGTCTTGAATTGCATTATCCAATGATCCAGTTTTTAATAATAGCCGATATAAACAACTTAAAGGTTATTTGTGGTATAGTAAGGAAGTATTATGATCTAACCTTGCATCTTTAGCTGACATTGTCCAGTCCAGACTGATAACATCATATCCAATTTGAGAGAGGTCTTTAATGGCATAGTGTGCACCCTTGGCAAAAATTGTCTTAAAAAAGAAATGGAAAATGCTCTACACACCTGTGCAGTCAACTACATATCAGGTAATTCCAATTTTTCTTTTTTTTTTCTTCAATCAAACTCATTTCAGTCCTTACCATTGGCACTGCATCAGGTCCTAACTTTTCTTTGACTTTTTCTGCTATTTGTTTAAGGTACGGCAACGAACACAGCATAAATGTATCATAACCAATAACCTCTGCATGAGACTCAAACACTTGTAGCATCTACAAAGGAAGGAAAGGAGAGGCAACTGTAACATAACTTTATATGAATCATTCATTACCTTTGTTGTTTTGTAAATCACTGACCATTGTAATTAGCTAATCCCAGATGGCTGTAGTGCACCTTTATTGTAAACTGTTCAGAATATCGTGATGAGTGTGTGTGATTGGAAGTGTAATTTTGTACTCCTTTATGGAGAGCAGGGGGCCTTTAGATCATTTAGGGGCTCATCACTACTATAAGTTGTACCATTTTTTATGCATGATTAGTTACTGGGATGATTATGACTTCCCCTAGCTAGGACATTAGTTGAATGTAGGTACCCTCCCCCCCCCTCACTCCAAGTAATTTGTCAAGTTTCTGATTAACCCTTAAGTGGTAACCATTTATACAAGCATGAGGAAAGTGTAATTTAATCAACTCTTTTATGATACCCATTCATACATCAATGTGGAGATCAGGGTGAGCCTGGAGAGAGGCTCTGAGTCATATTACCCAAAAAACAAATGCATCACTTCTTAATCTGAAGTACAATTGGCTAGCAGCCAAGCTTCCAAATCTCCAGCCTCATTTTGTTCATAGTTTAGGGGAAAAAGAATCCTTCCATGCCTGAATACAAAGTTGACAGTGCTAATCATAAAGTATATATAACCATTTTCCTCACGATGCAGTCACTTCTAATCCACATTGCAAGTGACTACTTTGTGAGGCAAAATGCATGTTTTACGCTATGTACAACACTTTTTTACCTGTGCTCCAGCACGAACTTGTAGAACCAAGTAATCTACAATTAAATCAGTCATCTTTTGTAACAGCTTACTAGAAACTTTCAAATGTTGGTGTAGGAATTTTCTAGCTTTGTTGAATGTTTTGCTGCTCTCTCCTTCAATCATGTAACACATTAGAGTCCACTGGAAAAAAAGAATTATGAATATAACATGAGCAGAGGCTCATAAGATGTAACTTTCTTAGTGGTACACCATCTTAAAAACTTTTGGAACCATCTCACATTAATCACCCTAAAAGAAATAACTCAGTGGAGAAGAGCACAAAAATTTTGTTTACTTACTGGAGCTCCAGTAAAACCAAGGAGAGGAACTTTCCCTTCAAGTTTGTGCCTTGTTAAAGTTATAGCTTGGAAAACATATCCAAGAGTCTTTTCTAAATCAACTTCTTGGATGAGTTTCTGTGGAAGAAATCACCTTGTTTAGTCTTTTGTTTCAATGTTACCTTCTATTAATAATTCTAAAATCACGAGGAAATCGAAGAGATGGGTGGCTAGTTTCTTTGAGTTGACATTTCCAAACACATTCTATCCATACCTCAATATCGCTTGGTTCCCTCAGAGGTTCAGGAAATACTGGACCCTAAATTGGGTGGGGAATGACATAAGCCGGTTACTGTAGACTTATTACTAATAATTTGGTAATAATTGAATGCATTGAAAGATAAACAAATGCAAAAGTTGAATATCAAACCTTGCCAGGTATCATTTCAACTGTCATCCCAAGGGCCTGGAAAAAGGAAAGTTCTTTAGTTACAACTTGTAGTGATATTAGCATGGATTAATACCTCTTATTAACTGAGTTAGAGATCCATACTGTAATTTATAGACAAAATTATTTCTACTCTAATTTATAGCCCTATTTGAAGTGTGTATGCCATAAATTCAAGGAAAAAAAAGGTTTCATAACTTTACTCTATAAATTGGAGGACATAGTTTTTTCGGACTTACATGAAAATATTGGTTAAACATTTATTGTATTACCTGAGGAATCACAAGAATATCTGAAAATATAATGGCAGCATCCAAAGGAAATCTTCTTATAGGCTGAGGAAAAAAAAAGTATTATTCTTCAACTGAGCTTTTATTAATCCTTTACAGTCCCTAACAATAGTATGCATATTCTCCATAATATAGTGGGCCCCATATATTTCCTAAGGTGCTGGCAAGGAGAATTTAATCAGTAATCAAGAGCCTCTCAAGTTGGTGATCAGTTCCTTTATTCTCATGGCTGTGATATGTGATCAGAGGTGATACTTTAGGGAGAAATTAGATGCTGGTCATTCTAAGGGTTTATAGGCTTAAATGTACTGTTGGCTTCAAAAACCAAAAGCTCATTCATTTGTTACCAGTAAGAATTAGGATGAGTTTTAATTTATTTGAGATTTGGAGGACATAACAGTGTACTTAAATTTTTTACCTGAAGAGTTAGTTCACAAGCCAGCTCTGGAGTCTGTACCATCTTGAAAAATTCAGCATTGTTTTCTGCTTTTAATTTCAGGAATTCTGAAATACCACAATTATAATGAAAAAAAAAATAAATTATAGCTTTTTTGTGACCTAGAAACTTGCAAGGTGAATCACATTACTTTTTTTAGTATGATTGATATAATTTTTTAACAGCCCAGATAAATTATCAAATATTAATTAAAAGTGGAAGATTTAAGACAAACTCTTCATAAAATCTCAAATTCGTTATTTAATCATAATTTCTCATTTTTATGCCGTTCCATAAATATATGAAAGGCAATTTCCCCACTTGACGCTTCATAATACCAGAGAAGCATGAATATTTAACAAAAAACACCTGCCATCGTTTCTCCCCCGATGCACCAGTTTCCAGTTAGGGTGTGAAATTTATACCGATGAAAGCAATTTGAATGAAATGATCAAAGTTCCGTAAGAAACACCTCATTGATCATGATGGTGGCAAATTAAATCAATGAGAAGATGAGATAACTGATAGAAAAATAAAGGTAAGATTGTCATCTGCCCTTAAATATATGGATTTCTTAAGTATACCTTCAATCTACAAGTTAACTAGACAGAAAATTACAAATTCCAAAAGTCCAGTTCTTTTTTTTGTTCTTAAAAAGTGTTGTGTCACTGTCACAGAAGTTCCTTACCTGGCAGATAGCGACCCGCTTGCCGCATGACCCATATGGGTGCACGTTTTGTCGCTTCACCACGTGCAGCTCGTAAAATCAGATCATTTTTCAGCTCTGGGAAGCCATTCTGCTTTTCACAATTGGCCATCTTTGAATTAACACTTTTCCTCTTCCAAACACGCGAAATCCCGGAAAAGTACGAGGGATCGAACGGAGAGGAGTTGGGTTCTATTTTCCGCGCAAAGATTCATGGGCTCTTCATAAGCGCCGCCATCTTGCCTAGTTTTACTTCAGGATGTTGGGTTTCATTACTCGTCAAGCGCCTCGTCTTTGGAGACAACCAGGATCTTTGATCTTAAGGAGAAGTCTCGCTGATGGTGCTCCTGCGGTTTCTCTTACGTTTGGGTCGCCTTCAGAGGTATATTTGGCACACTTCTGTAACAACATGTGCATGCACAGGTTACAACATGATTTTCAGATCTAATATAAGTTTTGGATAATTTAACCACACACTACGCGCCGAGGCTAGCTCTGCTATTTGTGGGTAGTGCGTCATTATGCTAAGTGTCATGTCATGTCTGATTACAATAAAATACAAAATACAAAATACAATACAAATACAATACCATTGTATCGAGGGACTCCTATTAGTCGAAGGTTTATGCGTGCTTGAAAATTGAAATCGAAATTAAAAATTATTCATTGGGCTCCGAATTGGCTAAACTGCAGAATACCCTGCCACTCATTTACATGTCATTGAATAAGAATAGCCTCTATTGTGTTATCTTCGTTCTTCATAATAGAGGCTATTCTTAGTCAATGACATGTAAATGAGTGGCAGGGTATTCTGCAGTTCTCTCACTCATTGGTTGAGGTGATGGGTTAAATTAACAGCTGTTGATTACTAATATTATTGATCAAAATCAGTACAGCTTCAAGCTAGAGTAGTAGTTCAAAATTTGTATGTGGGGACAGAGCTGAATAATGAAATGCTACGTTAGTGTGTTGCGGTCAACAATGCGGGCTCAAGTGTCCTAGGTCTAAAATTTAGCAAGATTAGCAGAAAATAATAAGGGCTTACTTTTAAAACTGAGGAAATCTGTTTTCGTGGAAGGCATTTTCCTATTTCCAGAGGTTTTAAAGAGAAAATTAAGTTTTGAAATTTTTAGAGGGTGTACCAAGTTTTTGGAGGTTGTTCTCTAAAAGAAAAGTGGCAAGGAAAACAACACCTCGAAGCAACAGAATTGGAAATCATTCATGCGTACGACTCAAAATCCGTGTTTCCACAGCAAAATCTAGCGCATGCATGTACATTATTCAGCTCTGTCATAATTATGCGGGATGGCCTTGTAGTGAGCCATTTCTGAATTAGCTCTAGCCTTGCTGCTTTTATCACACTTCTACACTCAGTTGTTCAACAGCTGACAATTAAATGTAAGCTTTTGTCAAATCCACTTTCTTAATGAATCAGGGAACACTCTTACATGTTGTTAACTTGTCAACACCCTAACATTGGTAGGCATATTTTCCATTCTGTTCTCTATACATTTCCTAAGGTGCTGACAAGGAGAATTTGTTTGAGAGGCAAGAGGTTCTTTAGTTGGTGATTATTTGTTGTATTCTCATCCCCATAAAATTTGATTTAGCTATGATACTGTGAGGAGAATTAAGATTCCAGTCACTCTTAGCAGTTCAAGGGTTGAAGCACCTACTCATGATAATTGCCCATGACTGATTTTCTTCAGTTGAATCTAGGAGATTTCACATTGTGGTAGTTAACTATTTACTAAGCAAACGCTGTAATTTTGTCATGATTATGTTGCATTTAAAAGCCCAAGGTTTGTCTAACAGACCATTATTTGTTTCTGTTATCATGTAGTCATTTTATTCAGAAGCTGAGGTGAAGCAAGTTGATGTTGCAACCACAGCTGGTAGTTTTGGTATTCTGCCTAACCATGTGCCCACTCTGGCAACTCTGCGACCAGGACTTTTGACTGTGACTGATGAGGAAGGTGTTCATAAATACTTTGGTGAGCATTGAAAATAGACTAAGAGAGTCTAGTGAGAGATGAATAAAGAGGGTAATTTTCTAAAGAAACTGTGGTGCTGCATCAGTGGGGGTAATAAGGTAATTTGGTTTTGTCAACTAAGTTGGAATTGTAAATTGGTCACTGTAAAGAATTTAAAAGCTGATGTTTTGAGTGTTAGCCCTTTGTCAGAGCTAATGATGATAGTGAGAGATGGTTCTTTTGTGAATAACAAAGGCATACTCAAGAAAAAGAACTTGAAGTGTTTCCAATAGGAGCCTTCTCATTAGTAGTTTGGATGCTTTGCCACTGTTCTAAGATGTAAGAGATACTACAATACTACAAAATCACAACATTAACCATTTCATTTGATTGTTTGTTCTTTGTGACACAACATTCCTGGAATATCTCAGTGCTCATACGCGTCTCGCTTTTCTGGCAAAACTTTTTGTAGGATTTTAATCTCTTGTTTTTAAGAGTTTTGCAGCAGATGATATTAGAGGTGTTATTGATTAACACAAAATCAACTCTAGACTTTGCACCTTTAAAAATCATACCAAAATATCAAATAGTTGTGGTTGCAAATATCATGTCTTAATAACTAGGGGTGTATAGCCATATGGATTGTTAAGAGTTATCTTGCTGCTGGACATAGAGGCACTGAGTTTCTCATCAACTTCCCCTTCACAGCAAGCAGTGGTACAGTAACCATCAATGATGACTCTACAGTTCAAATTCTTGCTGAGGAAGCCCATCCTATAGATAGATTTGATCCACAGGTATGTCATTTAACATTTTAAATCCAAAATCTGATTGTTATTCTCCCCTTTAGTTGTCACACATTTCTTTGTAAATTGATTACCAGAATTTAGTGTTAGATCACAAGGCTGTGCTCTAAGGAAAATTGAATGGAGCCAGTGCTCTGAAACTGTGAAATCTAGGGTGCCCAGCATATGCTTTGTATGAAAAAACTAAAATTCTTGAGTCGCCCAAGAGCAAAAGTAAGGCACCAGGGGCTATCAGCGCCGCTAGACCACAGCCTTGGATCAAGACCACTAATCAAATTCTTTGCTCTTTCTGCCTTACATTTCTTAAATTATTTTTGCTCTGAGAATTTGCCATGAAATCAAACGATATTCCTTTGATGATACACCAGCGTCCTGTATTTTCTTTCTCCTCATCACCCTTCTGTTTGATACTGTAAAGGGAAATTTCTCCTTGGTTGTTTGTGTTAATGTAGTAAAAGGGTTAAGAGATTGAAATGAAAGATAATTTGATTTTGCTTCAATAAATGAGTGGTGGTCAGATTTTCATGAACTGGCTAAATTGATGTACAATGTAGAAGGGAAGGTCGCAACAATAATTGTACTTTTTATAAGTTCAAAGTGTCCAAACTAAAATAAATCATTGAAAAAAAAAATTAATGTAGTAATGTGCATGGAAAAGACTGTCAGGGTTATGGTTAGGTTTATTAACTGTCTTTTTTTCCTTTTTCAGGCCGTCACCCAACAGTTAGATCAGGCTCAACAAAGCTTATCAAGTGCAGCTAGTGAAGAAGATAAAGCAAAAGCACAAATTGCAGTGGAGTGCCTTGATGCTCTAAATAAAGCCTTGGGACATTGATAATAACTCATTACATCTCCTCTTTTTTTACTTGAATTAACTCTGAAAAGCACAGAAGATTTCTAGTGTGGCGGTGTTGGATTAATTTTCACCTCTAACCTGTAAAATCATCATTTGATGATGTACTAAGTTTTAGTGGCCTCATGTTTCACCACTATTATATTTTGTCTTAAAAAAAAACTGGCAATGTTAGTTGCTTTTAGAGTTACTTTGTCTTGAATAAAATGTGATTAAAACTTACATTATGCATACTTGTCTCATTATGTGAAAATCATGTTTGTTACCATCCAATGAATACTGGTAGCACTATCAATTACTATTTTGTTTCTTTTTTCTGGGTTTGAAAAACACTCTAGTGTCTGTTTAGCAGTTATGCTTGTACAACCATTACAAGGAGATTGCATATTGCAAAAAATGCAATGCATCACTTGCAATTTTAGGAGTGAAGATAGGCCTTTAATAATTGTTGCTGTGCCACCTCCTTTCGTGGACTCTCTCCATAAAGAGGCTTTTCCTGGTATTTTAAAGAAATTGCAATAAGAAAGAGAGCTGAGGTGCGATGTCATGCATGCATGGTTTGGGAAGAAAAGTGGCATGAAGAAAGGAGATCTCAGCGCATGATCAACCTAGGACTGTTACAACTGGGTTCCCTTCCCTGACACTTTCTCCAAGAGGAGTCAATAGAAACCACTCAAACAGTTAGGTTGCAATTGCATATGGTGTTAATTGGTGTCATGAACTATGCCGGTAGATTTTTCCTTTCTGTTCTCGCTTTCGTTTTAAAAATTCCTGAAATTTTATAGGAGTCTTCACTGCAGGTTGCTCCGCTTCAGAGCAGTTCCCTGAGGGGCATGGAACACTCGACTGCTGTAGGGAAAAGCCACAAGCTGAGCAAAACTTTGATTCTTTGCTGGCTTCCTTCCCGCAACGAGGACAAAACAGGGCGATCTCGGTGAAGTGTTTTTGCACGAGGCTT